ATACATACATGTTATATATATATATACACACACACACACCCGCACATGTACGAACCCCTCACTTAACATTTGGGAAATCCCAAAACCCGAAAGCACAAGCCCTCAAAGCTTTCTCCTTGGGCAGATCGAGTTCGACTGCCGACCTGGTGCCATCGCTCAGAGCTTGGCGCTCCGGGAGCCCAAGTACCAGGAGATTCCGAAAAGGTTATTCCTAAGCGTAACTATGAGTGTTACGGCGAAATAAGACGGGCTGTGGTTTGGTTTGCACGCGTGTGTGTGTGTGTGTGTTTCTGTATATACATGTGTGTGTGTGTGTGTGTCTGTGTCTCTGTGCGTGTGCGTGTGTGCATTCAATGTATATATGTATGTGTGTTTGTGTGTGTGTGTGTGGGTGGGTGCATGTTCGTTTGTGTGTGTGTGTGTGTGTTTGTGTGTTTGTGGGTTTTTGTTCGTGCGCATGGGTGCAAGTAGCTATGTATATGCTACACCACACACATACATATTCGACTGTTTAGGGTTAAATTTTAGTTTGGGGTTCGGGGTTTGGGTTCCTGACGCTTGGGTTGTGTGGTCCTAGGTTTTTGGGCCTTACGGGGGGGGGGGGGCGAGCTTTGCTGTTTCTTTGATGAGATCCTGAACCCTGGACTTCTACATCCTGTGACTTGCAGTAAGCCCTTGTGTTTCAAGTCTCTTTGGGGGCGCCTTAGCTTGCTTTGCCAAGCTCGGCCCGGAAGCCCTGAAAGGCAAAGCCCCTACAAGTACTGCCCAAAAGTCTTGAAGCCTTAAAGGATTTAGGGTTTGGGGTAGCCCAATGTAGGCGTATTTGTATTGCAAGGCTTCAACTTATTTGGGCTTCATATGCCGTTTGGGAGCTTTGAGGCCGCCAACCCTTGTCGGCTTGTGCTTGACTTCGGATTGCGTCTGAGTTGTTGCGCTTTGGCTTTGGAAGAGTCGTCCCATGTAATCTAAATCCTTTCTTAGGTTTGGGTTCGCGGCCCTCAGGCCCCACACTGGCCCCTGTGGCTTGAAGCTTGAAGCACGAATCCTCACACCTTGGGAATTCACTGGACGTCCAGCTCGGTTAGATCGTGAAGCCCGCCTGCTGCAGCCTCCAGCTTCAACCTCAGTGCCTAAACTGGGCCTAAACCCTGCCAGGCCATCAGCCTTCAGGATTTCGCGGTGTTTTTGAAGGCTTTCGGTGTGTAGTTGTAGTCGGGATTTGGGCTTTGAGGTTTGTAGGTGTTCCGAAGATTTCGCTGGGTTTTGACTGGGTATACGGTTTGTGGGCTCCAGAGAGCTTCAAGATCTTTGGACACTGGGCGAGAATGGCCCCAACTTGGTGCACCCCTAACTCGTATAAAGACCCCATACAGCCTTACACAGCGTTGTACGAAACCCCCTGCAGCCCATGGTTCCAACCCTCAACAGGACACTGCCGCCTACTGCCACTTCGGACGTGAGCCGGTCACCAAGAACGGCATCAAGTTCTTCGAGTGGGAGAACCCCAAGGACATTTTGACTTGATGGACATCTGGGGAGCATTGGAGAGCTGAGAGCAACACTACGGCTGAGTTCCCGCGAGTTGAGAGCTTGAAGTTCGGTGTTTGGGGTTAAGAATTTAGAGTTGCAAGCTTTTGGATCTAGGCGTTTAGGGCGCTTGAGTAGGCCAGGCAAGAAACTCTGAAACCTCATGTCCCCGCCTTCAAAAAAAAGGGAACCCTTCGAAGTCAGAACTGCCAGTGCCACGCGTCTTGCTTGGGAGGACCTGAAGAAGTATGCCTCCATGAACTCCGACCAGGTCACCGCGGCCCTGAAGAGCAGCAACTACCTCACCAAGTGGGTGGACTAAGAAGCGCCGGTTCCAAGGGACACATTGTAGGAAAAGGAGCTTCAAGGCAGGCACGAAAGGATCGGTAGGATCAGGAGATAGTCATATAGGCCATAGACGAGACTAGACTCATGGGTCAAAGCTTATCCTCGAAGAGCTGTGAGACCTTGGACCCTACGCACGGCTTTAGGAGCACAGCACCTCAGCCGGTGTCCATGGAAGCACCAGATCCGCCGATGGAGCAAGCTTCTCGGCGCGTTGGGCACCCTCGCGATCCGGCTGTTTCTCGGTGCTGAGCGAAGGAAAAGACTTGTGCTGTCCAGGATACAGCACCAGCGTGTGGTGCTTCTGGTGCGTTGTTGCCGTTGCTTCTGTCATTGTCTCTCTTTCTCCTTCGCTCTCTGTCTATCTCTGCCTGGTTATATGTATATGTCATCAGTGCTTATCGGTGTTGTGATTGTCAGCTGCTCTACAAACTGTACAAAGAGGAACAGTTACTCCGCGAACCAAAGACTAACCGGAGAAATGACATAGATATTCATGCAGTTCATTGGCAAAGCAAGCCAGCCAGCCAGCCAGCAAGCAAGCAAGGAAGCAAGGAAGGAAGGAAGGAAGGAAGGAAGGAAGGAGGGGGGCTCCGAGCCTGCCAAGGCGGCAGGATCTTGGATACGCAGAAGCGCTGGCTCAGGGTTTAGGCTGAAAGCACTCTGGACCTCATGGGGCGAAAGCCGTCAGGATCGGGAACACTGAAACGGGAAACTCCCCGTGATCGTATAAACTGCCGGTGACAGTAACCCCTCCATACCTATAGTCGCACCAACGATGATACCAACAAGAGCCAGCCGAGCAGCCAGCGTGGTTCTCACAGGAAGGAAGAAACATAGTAGTTCCCATATGCGTCAAAGGTCCGGTGCTTTGACGATCTGGATTTCAGTACTTGCAGCACAGGATTTACGCAGCGGCATGGCGTAGCCGTGATTGGCAAAGGGCCCTTGTCATGTTTGGCGGAGTTATATAATAAGCCATACATCTTCAACATCTCCGGGTACTGCATTTGCCAGCTTTCTTGAAGCAAGTGCTTTGTGAACACGATCTGCTACAGGCGGCGGAATCCCAACGCCAGGTAGAGCGCTGGCGGAGCGAGGCAGATTGCCCAAGGGAGGGAGGGGAGGAGGGTCGCTCATGAAAGGTGGCCATTAAACCACATCGGATCCAAGCAACAGTCTGCCGAAGCCCGACATGGCCCCGAAAACTGCAGCGCACTCCCAGAAGGCCGACCTAAGAAAGGGCGCTCATGACCCTGAGCTGCAAAACCCATGGCCCCCTGCATCCTTGGTATGCGAAGCCGTGAACAGAGCAGGCACAAGGAAGAAAGTCCACAAGTCATGAGAACAGAAACAAGAGGTGGTCCAGCTGCATGCTGCTTTGGCTGCGGAGGACAGCCCGGATCCGATGACGAACCCCTATAAGCTCGGCGGCTTTTCCGATCTACGGTTTGCAAGTTGAATTTGTGGAACTGGGGTGTTGGTGCTTCCTCTTGGAAGAGAGGGCTTTGTGTGACTGGTCTATCTTTGCAAAAGGTTTCTGACTTGCCCACAGAGCCTTCAACGCCCTGCCCCTCAGAACTCTTGCAACTCGGATGCTGCTTCGACCCTCCGCAATTACGCCCTCCTGTTCCCCCAAACCCTTGTTTTGAGAGCGCATGGGACCTGCAGCATTTCAGCTCTGTGCCGTCATGAAGCCAAAGTGGATTCTGACAAGTGGCCAGGAAGCCGAAGCAAAAGGGGCCTCTGCCTCTCCAAGTCTGATCAGTCTGATCCCCCACCTCCAAACCCTCTGACAGTTGAGGGTTCAGGGCCATCAGGGCCAACACTCAAAGTCTGAAGCTCCGGTCCTTGGCTCTTCTCCAGCGGGAAGCACCCTCTCGGCGCCATGGCCGCCGACGAGACGGAAGAATCCCTGACCGGGCTGCAGCAGCTCATGCTCTTCAGGCTCTGTTTGCTTTTTGGGTGATGTGAAGGAAGTTTGTTCTGATTGCTTTCTTTGCAGAAGGTTGGTGCTTCTGGGTGTTGGGGATAGGAGTTTAAGGAATCTGCAGCTGCGAGTTTACGATTGAAGCTTTTCGGGTTTGAAGGTTGCGTAAACCCATAACCTTGACCCTGAACTAGGCCTTTACGTTCAGGATTCCTTATCAAGGATCCAAGAGCCCTCAAGCCTGGACCTTGACCGTGAACCCCACATCCCAAAGAACCCTGAAACTTCTGAAGCCCAAGACAAACTGAACAACCCTCACTTTACGCCCTGTAAAACCTAAACGTACCTAAACCCCGAGCAGGCATTGGTCTCTTTTCCTGCCTCGGCTCACCTCCGAGCCTGCAAAGCTGAACGGGGCCTATACGCTGATGCGACAGCACCTGGGCCGTTTGTTAGGGCATTCATGTTATATGGTCAGCAGGGCTTTGGGGCATGTAGGGTTGGGGTTTAGGGTCTGCAGGGTCTACAGGCCTTAGAGCTGACAGCGTTCAGGATTTCAGAAGTCGCCAGAAGTGGAATCGTTAGCGCATCGACCTCAAATCCTCTTGATTGGCCCTAACTCACAACCCGGAAGCCCTCAACCCCAAAACACCCAACCCCTAACCCCTGGATCCTAAAGTCCGAAAACCATCTAGAGCCACAAAGAACGTGTATTCGACCTGTGTTTGAATTCACCGATGACAGGCAGCGCAACCCTGGCTTCTTTGACCAGCTGCGAGAGAAGCTGCGCCCCGTCTGAAGGATCCAGGCTGTGGGGCTCGGTTTGAGATCTGTTGAGGGTTTTTTGGCCTGGGGGTGTCGGTGGTCAGGATGTAGCTCCCAGCGTCGCTGGCCTTGATCCCAGCCCAATCCGTAGTGTTTGAAACCTTCAAAAACTCCCCATTAGGCATTGGACTTGGTATTTGGTGTTAGTTTGCTTGGGATAATCCTTGAAAGTCGAAGCCGATGCCCAGGCATCAGATTCTGCAAGACTGCGACATGCTGCATGTTTCCGGTCAGGTGCGACGGTGGGTCAATGGACCTAGGGCTTACCTGCAGCTCGGAGTGCCAGTAGTTCAAGAGGCTATAACCTACGATCAAAGCCTGTATAACGGGTCATAACCTACTCTTTCACAGGTAGGGTGATTTCTAGAACTTCGGTCTGTGGGGCTTTTTCGAAAGTGTAAGCTCGTGAATCCGTCTTCAAAGCACAATGCAAGGAACTCCCAGTGTGAAGCCCAGGGCCCAGCAAAGCTTGCTGATGCGGCGGGAACCCTGAGGCCGAAAGCCTAGAACAAGCCTGGACACGCTGGGCCCTAACTAGTCGAAACCCTATGCATACACAAGCCCTACTCCCTTTATCCGATGTAGACCGTATGAAGACCCTAAGTTTCAAAAACACCGCAGATAAATCCTGTACACACCATTTATGAACCCTGCACCACATATACACTGCATATATGTCGTAAGCCGTTTATACACCATAGACAACCCCCTTGCAACAAAAGCCAAAAAGCAGCACAGCATATTATCAGCCACACATAAACCGTCTCCAAGTCGACGTAAAATCATCAAAGACCCGGCAGGCGTGCTCCGTCGAAGGTGGGCTGGAAAAGGTTCTGAACGTGCTTTGACCTGTTTATAATTAAGATCTTTATTTTTTTATTCAAGTTCGATACGGTCATACAAGAGTTTCGTTAAGCGTTCTGCAAGAGTTCAATCGGGGTTGCGCAGAGGTTTTGTACAACTTCTATAGGAGGCGTCTTAACTGTTTAGGCTTTTGGGTGTAAGGTTTGGGGTCTTGCTTAGAGAATGAGGGGAATGGGTGATTACGTAATTAGGTTACCAGTAAGGCAGATTTTGTTATGGCTACGTAGAACGCCCTTTAGTTTAAGCACCTTGCAGCCTTGCTTACTCATTCCCCTTACCCGGCAAGCAGGCCCTGGGCCAAAAGCCTTGCTCTTTGGCATTGGGGATGGCTGAAGTAGATTGAAATATTATAGAGGTTTCAGGGGCGCACTAAACAGTCTTGAATCCTTGGTTAGAGACGGGCAAAGCGGCTAAACAAGAAACAAGGATACATATATACATACATATATAT